GTTATGTGTGCCTGATATAGATGGTCTTAGAAAGTCCATAATGGAAGAAACTCACAGCTCGAGGTACTCTATCCACCCAGGTGCTACCAAAATGTATCTGGACTTGAAAGGGTTGTATTGGTGAAAAGGCATGAAGAAGCAAGTAGCAGATCATGTGGCTAAATGTTTGAATTGCCAGCAAGTCAAAGCTGAGCATCAGAGGCCTGGTGGCCTAGCTCAAGATATAGAAATACCACAGTGGAAATGGGAGATGATTAATATGGATTTCGTAGTAGGTCTACCTCGCACATACCGTAAGCATGATTCAATTTGGGTTATTGTAGACCGACTGACAAAGTACGCGCATTTCCTACCAGTAAAGACGACAGATTCCGCAGAGCAATATGCGCAGTTGTACGTCAAAGAAATAGTTCGATTGCATGGTACTCCAGTTTCAATCATATCAAACAGAGGCCCTCAGTTCACGGCGCATTTTTGGGAGGTATTTTAGAAAAGATTAGGTACCAAGGTCAATTTGAGCACCGCTTTCCATCCACAGACCGATGGCCAGGCAGAAAGGACCATTCAGACACTCGAAGATATGCTGCGGGCATGTGTTATAGATTTTGGAGGTAATTGGGATGATCACTTGCCACTTATAGAATTTGCTTACAATAACAACTATCAGGCCAGCATTGGTATGGCTCCTTATGAAGCGTTGTATGGGCGAAGATGTAGGTCTCCAGTGGGTTGGTTTGAACCAGCAGAGGTTTCATTGATTGGTCTAGAGTTTGTTTGTGAGGCCTTAGAGAAAGTCCAGCTAATCAGAGAAAGACTTAAAGCGGCTCAGAATCGTCAAAAGTCCTATTCTGACAAGAGGCATCGTGACTTAGAGTTCATGGTTGGTGACAAGGTGTTTTTGAAAGTTTCACCAATGAAAGGAGTTATGAGGTTTGGTAGGAAGGAAAACTTATTCCTAGATTTATTGGACCTTATGAGATTATAGAAAAGAAGGGAAACGTGGCTTATGAGCTAGCATTGCCTATTGAGTTGTCCTCTGTTCATCCTATTTTTCATGTGTCTATGCTTAGAAAGTACATTCATGATGAGTCACATATAATACCTGCCGATACCATAGAAATTAAAGAAGGCTTGACTTATGAAGAGGTACCTATAGAAATTCTCGATAGGCAAGTAAGAAAGTTGAGAACAAAAGATATAGCATCGATAAAAGTTTTGTGGAGTAATCATGATTCAAAAGAAGCTACGTGGGAGGTCAAGGAAGATATGAGGAAGAAATATCCATATTTATTTGAGAAAAAAGGTATGTGAACCTAAGTTTGGCTTGGCATATATATTTTATTTATTAAATACAAGTTAGCATGTGTTTATGTCATTGCTAGATTACACTTAATTGTTGAGTAATTTAGTTTCTATCAGAGTATATTTAGTTATTTAATAATTTAGTGCCATGCCAGAGTATATTTAATTCATTAAAGTTATTTACTTTTTGCTGAAGTGTTGTGCTTTAGATTTTGGTTGGTTATTGTGGTACCTCCTTGCCGGAGTGTGAGTAATTAGTTTATGAGTTGTGTATGGTACCTACGAATGGCCTGTTATGGTATATTTTGTTGTTGTTGGTGTAGTTGTGGTATTGGTAACTGGGATATTTTTGGATAGTCCAATTTACAGGGGAGACTCTGCCAAAAGTTTTAAAAATTTAGGGAGTTAGCCAAAATTTTGAGTCCTTTGGGAAAGTGAGTAGTGCTAAGAAACCTTAAAAAGTTCAAGGACTTGAGAAATGATTATTAGCTTAAGAATAAGGCCTTAGCAACATTCGAGGACGAATATTTTTAAGGAGGGAAGATTGTAACACTCTTCAAATCTGTAGAAGTTTCAAAACTCGCTAAATATATAATTTAAATTATTTTTATCTTAAATTATACTTCTATTACGGATTTAAACCCTTGTGATTGATTTTTGAGTTACTTCTCTATTTGTAAATAATTGGATATACAATTAGGGAAAATATTAATAATTTTAATATTATTAACTATTAAAAGTAGGTATAATTAAACACTAGTAAAAAAAAAAAGAAAAAAAAAGAAAACAAAAAACAAACAAAAGGGAAACAAGAAAAGAGAGCACGTGAAAGGCCTTGGCCCATAAAGGGCCGTGGAAGGCAAAAGTATTAAAAAGGGTTTATACAAAGAAACACAACAAGCGTTTGTTCACGCACGAAACACAAAAATCATGAAACAGAGCCTTGCTGCTCAGTACTCGCGCAGGCAACAGGATATTTAGGTTTCTTTACAAATCACTTATTCTTGAACTCAGGTATACAAAATTTTCTATTGTCAATTATCCTACAGTAGTAACCAGTAAAAATTGAATAGTTAATTCTCTTCTTTCTCTGTATCAACAGTAAATTTCATGTTTAGGTGTGAAACTTTAAAATTGATTAAAATGCACTGGTTGTTGTAGAATAGATTATTTGACGGGTATAAATTGGACTAGGGCCTACGTATTGGCTCGAGAAGTTTTGAGGTGAGTTGATATAACCCTTTACTAAAGTGGCTTAACTCACAAAATCACGCATACAAGGTGTTTGATGAATTGCTTAAAAGAGTTTATATGTACTTAATTGGAGCGAGTGAGTACTTATTAACTTAGAATTGTTCTAGCTAAAGTTTAGATGATTTATTATGATATATGTGCATAAATTTTCAGATTTTTGTGTTATTCTTATATGCCATTTTCATGTTGAAAATTCATGAAGGAGCAAGAATCTTTAGATATACTTTTGAATATTTATTTCATTCTTATACCATGCTTTACATTTAAGGATGCCAGCATGAGTATGCATAGGGTGTTTCAGAAAAGATTTAGACTTGAAAAGTCACAAGAAGAAGTTTTAGAAAGAAAAGATTTTTGGGAGTATCCTCTATTCTGAGAAGGGGTCATCGTCCAGGCCGAGGGTCCTGACCAAGGCGTTGACTTCCTGAAACTACTTGTGCCAAAGTAGGGAGCACACGAGCCGAGGGTCTCGTTGCTGAGAATTTACTTAGCCTGGCTAAGGTATGATACATGAGCGCTGAGAACCATGAAGCGAGTGGCACCTCGTGGATTGGGCCTATTCGATCAGGTTGGGATCGAACCCGTGCCGATCACACGGTGACTGAGACAGAATTAAGTCAGGATAGTTGGAACTCCCAAAGTATAAAGTGATGGATATTTTTTTTAAAAGAAAAAAAGAAAGAATTTCTTTTAGAATATTCATAAACTGCTATTATGCAATTATTTTAGAATTGTTCTTATAAGCTTTATGTTTTACATGCATTTAGAATCTTTGCTTGTAATGTATATGTTATTAAAGTTTCATCCCTGTCGTTGAGACTCACTGAGTACAATGGATGGTACTGACGTTCTCTTTTGGGAACCTACGTTGGTCTGCGGTACAACGTAGGAACCGATTTTGCAGGCGAGCAGGTTACGGGTTAGGACTTCCCTCACTTCCAGTGCTATTGGTGAGCTCCGCTGTTGTTCGTGGAGTACTCCTTAGTGTCATCTTTATTTAGCTATTTCTTTGTTCACTTAGAGAACTGGCCAGGAAATCTCATGTCCTGAGCAGTGCGTCAGTTTATCAGTAGAGGCTTCATAGACACAGTCAGTGGGTTAAGATTCAGATATTTTTTATAATAATTTAGTAGTATTTCAGTAGTTACTACGAATAAAGTTTTGGATTTGATTTATTTTAAATATTTAAATTAATCAAAAGTATTTGGTTAAAATATTGCCTTGTTGCATATAAAGTTTGAAGTTATAATAGATTTGGTAAGCACAGATGGTTCGCTCGGTCATGTTTAGTGATCGGGTGCCGGTCACGACTTGTTCAGAAAATGAGTCGTGACAAAATAAAGTTATAATTCCAATTGGTGGCAGATTAATAGCCTATTTGGCCAAGCTTCTCCAATCCTATAAGTACTTTTTTCGCTTTTTTTTAAAACTTGAAGTGTTTGAAAAAACTTTTGGAAGGAAAAAAAAGTACTTTTGAGGAGAAGCATAAGCAGTTTTGGAGAAGCAGAAAAAAGTAACTTCTTTCCAAAAGCACTTTTTTGAAAAATACACTTAGAATCAACTTTTAAAAGCTTGGTCAAACACTAATTGCTGCTCAGAAGTGCTTTTCAAATTAATTAGCCAAACGTAAATTGCTTCTCACCAAAAGTACTTTTGAAAAAAATACTTTTAAGAAAAAATACTTCTCAAAATATTAAGTTTGATAACTTCCATGGATGGAAGCTTTAGTTTGTGAGTGAATTAAAGAAAAAGATGTTGTGAGCTTTAGAGAGAGAATTTCTGGAAATGAAAAATTATGTTCTTCATTGAATTGTATCTAATCATGTACAATTATAGTGTATGTATGCACGCTACTCTACTTATGCCTAACTACTCTAACCACCTACATAGATTATATCAACTTAACATTAGGTGGGTCCCACAGCCACAACTTGCTTTCCAACTAACTCATCTTCAACACTCCCCCTCAAGATGATGGCTTGAACAAGTTCTTCACTCCTAAACTTCTCAGCAGATAGTCATGTTGTAGCTTGCCCAAGCTCTTAGTCAGGAGATCAGCCAATTGCTCTTTTGTAGATATGTGTTTAGTCTTCATTACTCCTTGTAATATTCTTTCCCTCACAAAATGACAATCTATGTATATATATTTTGTTCTTTCGTGAAAGATTGGGTTGGCTGCAATCTGAATTGCAGCCTTACTATCATAGAGTAGCTCAATAGGTAGTTCAATCTTCACTCCAAGCTCTCCAAAGAGTCCTACTAACCAAGTTACTTCAGCAGCACATGCAGCCATGCTTCTGAATTATGCTTCTGCTAAGCTCCTAGAAACTGTCTCTTGTTTCTTGGACTTCCATGATATCAATGCATCTCCAAACTTTACTAAATAACCAGTGACTGATCTTCTGGTTTACAGGCAAGCTCCCCAGTCTGAATCACAGTAGACTCTAAGTGTTTGTGCTATTAGCAGGCACCAGGAGACCTAACCCAGGCCCATCCTTGATGTATCTTACCACCTTAAGGGTTGCTTCCATATGTGACACTTTTGGACAATGCACAAACTGGCTAAGGACATGTACTGCAAAGGCAAGGGTAGGTCTGGTCATGGTGAGGTACAACAACCTCTCTACCAGTCTTTGATAACTGCTAGGATCTTTCAATACCTCATATGCTGCATTAGTTGTTATCCAACTGTCGTAGTCTGCTGATGTTAGTTTTTGGTTGATTTTAAGAGGAGTACCAGCAGTCCTTACTCCACTTAGGCCAGACTCAGAAATCAGCTCCATAGCATACTTCCTCTGATTCATTACTATCCCTTCTTTGGACCTAGCAGATTAAATGCACAAAAAAAACTTCAGCTCCCCAAGGTCCTTCATTTTGAACCTAGTCCGTAGGTCATCTCTTGTTTGGTTTAATTGACTAGGATTGTTGCCTGTGATGATCAAATCATCCATATAGACTAAGATTACAACTATGTCACACTTTGCTTTTCTAGTGAAGAAAGAATAGTCAAAGTGACTTTGCTGGAATCCCATCTCCACTAGAGTTTCTGTTAACTTCATATTCCATTATCTTGGGGCATGTTTAAGGCCATACAATGACTTTTAGAGTTTGCAGACCTTCTGAGTCTCCCCCTGTCTGCAAAAGCCTTCAGGAATATACAGATACACTTCCTCAAGAAGATCACCATTGAGAAATGCATGGTGTACATCCATTTGGTAAATCTGCCAATTCAGAGAGGCAGCTAGAGCTATAACAGACCTCACAGGGACCATTTTTGCCACTGGAGAGAAGGTCTCAGTGTAGTCAAGCCCTTCTTTATGGTTGTACCCTTTGGCCACCAATCTAGCCTTATACCTTTCAACTTCACCTGAAGCCCTGTACTTAACCTTAAAAATTCACTTGCACCCAATAAGAGACTTTCCAGGAGGTAGGTCAGCAATGGTCTAGGTGTTGTTGTCTTCAAGAGCTGTTACTTCCTACTTCATGGCCTACACCCAATTGGGATCTGAGACAACCTCTTTAAAGGACTTAGGTTCAGGAATAGCTGAGTGAAGTGCCAGTAGATGTTGATAAGGTATCGTCAACTTGGAGTAGGTTACATAGGATGAGATAGGATAAGGACATGTATGAGTTGCTGGTTTAGTGACATAATCTTGCAACCATACATAAGGTCTGCTTGGTCTACCATACCTCATGAGCTCTTGGGCTGTATCAGAATTGAGTGGTGATGAATTATAAGCTGTAATATGAAGAGTTGGATTTGCTTCAGTAGAGGATGACTCCTCATGAACTGCAGTAGAGGAAGGAGGTGAGTTAATATCCCCCTGAGTTAAGCTATTAGAAGTACCAGGTGAGCAAGCAACTGGTTGATTCTTAGTGTCATTAGATGCCATAGGTGATAATATATCTAGTACTGGGAACACAGGATTGCCTGCAAACTTCCGTTGCTTGAATGGAAAGATAGACTCTTGAAACATCACATTTCTGCTCACAAAGAGTGTCTTAGACTGGATATCATATAGCTTATACCCTTTCTAAGAAGGTGCATACCCCATGAGAACTGTAGGAATGGCCCTTGAGGCAAATTTGTCAGTATATTTTGGAACAGCTACATAACAAAGATAGCTTAGATGACTGAGAGAGAGAGCATGCAAATAAAGCATCTCAAATGATGATTTGAAGCCAACAACTCTGGAGGGTAACCTGTTGAGTAGATAAACAACAGTGGTGACACACTCACCCCAGAACCTTAAAGGAATGTCTGCCTGAAACCATAATCCTCTAGTTATTTCAAGGATGGTTTTGTGTCTTCTTTCAGCTACTCCATTCTGTTGTGGGGTGTACACAATAGTGCTTTGGTGTTCAATACCAAGAATTGAGAGAAGTCCCTTGAATTCTGTGCTAAAAAACTCACAGCCATTCTATGTTCTAAGTGTTTTAACAGAGGTAGAGAAAATGTTATGTACTTTGACAAAGAATTTTCTAAGCACAACTATAGTGTCAGACTTAGACCGAATCAGGAATATCCAGGTGAATCTGGTATAATCATCTACAACAATGACAAAGTACCTTTTTTCATCATAGGTGGAAACTCTGTAAGGGACCTAAATGTCACAATGAAGTAAATCAAAAGCAGATTTAGACACAATAGAGCTCAGCTAAAAAAGTAACTTTGTTTGTTTGGCTAAGGGACAAACAATACAATATTGATGTGCATCAGCCTTCAGATGTTTAAGTGCTTCATGTTTCCTTATTATTTTTAGTGGTGCATGACCTAGTCTCTTGTGCCATAGGCTACCAGAATCAGAAACAATAGATATGTGAGCATGACTAGTCTTATTCAAATAACTTGTACTAGTGCTAGTAGTTACTTGTTGACTTAAACCTTAACTTGAACCCTTCTCATGCCTCTCTTATAACACATAGAGACCATGATTCTCTCTACCAATACCTTTCACCTGTCCACTGAAGAGGTCCTGGAAGATACAGAAGTCAGGAAAAAATATTACTAGGAATTTTAGTTCTTTAGTGAGTTTGGACACAGAGAGAAGATTGAACTTAAACTCAGGTATATATAGCACATTAGATATGTCTTGGTTCTTAAATACATAAGTCAATCCTCTGTGTGTGACTGAGACTATATTTCCTGTAGGTAAGTGAACTATGCTCTTGTCTGATTGTGGCACTAGCCTGTATGCTTTTAACATTTGTAAGTTAGATGCCATATGATTAGATGCACCTGTGTCCACAATCCACTCCATATTATTATAGATAGACATTAGGTCGGTTTGTGTACCTGCAACAATTGCCTTGGTTGAGGATCCTTCATCTGGTCCCTTGTTGAGCAGCTAAAGTATCTGCTGGTACTTTTCTGGTGTAAAGAATGCAGTAGGAGCATGTGGAGATACTGGCATTGCCATTGAAGTGAAACGTCCTCTAACTGCAGGTTGTTGTTCTTCTTTCATTCCAGCATTGCTGGCTCCATATGTAGCTTCTCCTGCATTAGGTGTAATCCAGCTAGTCTGATTTGCATAGGAGTTAGAGTTGGTTTGATTTGTGTAGGAGAGAATATTCCCAGCAGTGCCTCCTCTTCTCTTGGACTTGAAGTCTGGTGGATAACCTACTAGCTTGTAACAATTTTTTTAGTGTGACCTTTGAGATGACAGTATTCATAGACCAGAGTACTTTTTCTGGGCATAGGTTTGAAATTGGTATTAGCATGATATCCTCTTTTGTTGCTGAACAAAGTTGTGCTCTCAAATGATTCAGTGATTTATGACATTGGTGTGTAATTAGCTAGGTTCCTTTTGGTCTATTATCATTATGTATGCTTGGTTCAAAGATGGAGTAGGATACATCATTGTAATCTGACTCCTAGCTTGGCTATAGAATTCATTTAAGTCAGTTAAGAACTGCATTAGTCTTTGGTACTCAAAGTGCTAGAGATACCTCTTTGATTCAGGACAAGGACAACTAGGACATGGCATTATAACATCAAACTCATCCCAAAGGTCCCTAAGTTTGGAGAAATAGTTTGTCACAGTCATTGTCCCCTGAGTAAGGGAGTGAATTTCTTGTGCAAATATTGAACTCTAGCACCGTTTACCTTGTCAAACCTTTATCTTAGATCCTCCCAGACTTTTTGTGCATTTGACGCATACACAACACTACTCAGCAACCCTGGTCGAACTGCATTCATGATCCATGATAGGACCACAACATTCACCTTCTCCCATTGATCATGTAATTCTAGCTCAAACTGAGACTTAGGGAATCAACCATCAACAAAACCTAGTTTGCTTTTACCTAGAAGTCCAATTCTCATAGATCTACTCCAAATTGTATAGTTTTCAGATCATGTTAGTTGAAGTGAAATTAAAGAGCTACCTTGAGTGTCTGTTGGATGCAGGTACAAAGGATGGTTGTGATCAACTGTGGGAAAGTCATTGCTGTGATTGCGAGCAACTGCATTATGAGAGGTCCCGACAGTAGGTCCGACCAACGTAGTGCTGGTTTCATCACCAATCGCCATGGATGATGCAGAATTTCAAGCAAAGTCATGCAATTTTCACAAGTTTCACAAATGAAAACCTAATTTCGATTCAAATCACTCTGAGACAGTTTCACTCCAAAATTGAGAGAACTGAGGTGGTTATGAAGATGAATCGAGTTGTTAATAGCTGGCGACTCGTGTCGTAGGCTCTAATACCATGATAACTTCCATGGATGGAAGCTTTAGTTTGAGAGTGAATTAAAGAAAAAGATGTTGTGAGCTTTAGAGAGAGAATTTCTAGAAATAAAAAATTATCTTCTTCATTGAATTGTATCTAATCATGTACAATTACAATGTATTTATACACGCTACTCTACTGATGCCTAACTACTCTAACCGCCTAACCACCTACATGGATTATAATAATTTAATATTAGATGGGCCCCACAGCCACAACTTGCTTTCCAACTAACTCATCTTCAACAAAGTTGAGTTTTGCAACTTGGCCAAATGGACTATAAGCCCAGTCTATTCTTGTTTTAGAACGGAGGGTGACTTTTGATACCTAGAAGTGAAGCGCCTTTGACTTAATGACCTATAAGTAGTAAAATATAGATGTAGGATTTAAATTCTGAATTTGTCAAAAAATACAAAATGCTATAAAGCCAATGGTTTTCTTCCTGACTCAAGCTTAGACATGAACTAATAGTATTTTGCATTAAAAGGAGTAATTTTAGTCTTCTTTTTCCAGAGTTATTCTTAGTTTTTGACCCTTCGTTAAAAGCTTATAAAGTCAGCGAAAATGTGACTAAGATGTGTCAAAAAATTAGTCTGCAGTTAGTAGTTAGTTGCTTTGATGGTAAGCACCCTCCACTTCCAATCAAGAGGTTGTGAGTTCGAGTCACCCCAAGAGCAAGGTGGGGAGTTCTTGGAAGGAAGGATGCCGAAGGTCTATTGGAAACAACCTCTCTACCCCAGGGTAGGGATAAGGTCTGCGTACATACGGTCTGTGTACACACTACCCTCCCCAGACCCCACTAGTGGAATTATACTGGGTTGTTGTTGTTGTTGTTGTTGTTGTTGTTGTTGTTGTTGTTAGTAGTTAGTTCTTTCTCTTTTTCTTTTTAGGTCACGCCGTTCCTGTCATAAGCAATACGGAGTAGTAATTAAATATTATGAGTCATTGCAAATAATATTAGATATTTTAGTGCAAACGCTATCATTTGAGAAAAGGTTTACCTTTTTAAAGAAAAAATAATAAAGGAGGAAGAGAGCTTAAAAGACCACCAAATCTGACTGGTGACACTACGATTTAAATTGTGGAGCTTGATCACCAGTGTCCCAACAAGACTACAAATTAAGCTTTAAACCCTCAATTATCAAGCTCCAAATTGAAGGGCATTATATTAAATACAAACTACAATTAATAATTTATAAGAAAGATGGTTTTAGAAGATAAAATAAAACACACTTGGCAAAATAAGCAAGCAAGCAGTTCACCTACCCATACTATATAATTTTCTGGGTAGACTTGATTTAATTTCTTAAATGAAAGCATTGACTTTGACTGAGTGCAACGAATGCTACTCTTAGTAAACAATAATTTGAAGAAGGAAATACCAAAAGAGATATTTTCAGCATGCTCAAAGTAGTCGCCAATTCTAGTTAGCATTACCACTTCTATTTACTAAAATTATGGTTTTCCACAAATAAATTCAACCACTGGTCCCTAAAAATTGACAACTTTAATTTGACGTTTTGGTTTGATTTTTCAAAACCGCTCTTACCATTAATAACGAAGTTCAATTACTCAAAAAGCAGGCCATTGTACTCGCTTTTTTGGAATTGTTTACACAAATCACTCCTTCAGAAAAGCAAATTTATTACCAACACATAAAATTGTTATGTTTAATAATTTTTAGAGTACAAGAGTCAAGACATTTAAGTTTCTTGTGAATTCAAATTTGATTTCTCATAATTTTAAGACAAAAGTTAATAATTTTAGCAAGCACAAAAACGTCCTATATTTAATAATTTATCGTAAAATATCTTAGAAATGCTTTAAAATCATAGTTAAAAACGGTGAATTCTTACATAATATTAGCTTCACCTTTTTAAACAAAAGGAGTCTTCAAAAATTTAAAAACACAAATTACCTTAAAAGTGTACCAACGTTGTTAGAAGTCGCCCTTCCCCAAAAGGGTTGGTCCATTTGACAATTGAACGCGGAATATGGCTTTGGTTTTAAGGAATATTCATTTAAAACATACAGAACAAATGTTGCACTTTCACATCTGTATTATTAGATTTACTGCACTATTATATTCTCATTCTAATTTTGCTTAACTGATTTTTTCGCATGGTAGATTTACAAAAAATAATATTTTTTCTGTCTCATTTTACAACAACAACGACAAGGGAAATCCCACTAGTGGAAAAGATCCAAGGACTGGGTTTCGATCGTCGCTCACCCTTCAGGGGGAAAATGGACGCGCTGTCCATCAAACCAAGTATGCTTGTATAAGTCAATCTCTTTATTTTATAAACGGCAAAGGATCAAATATATCCCTCTATTTTCGAAAATAGTTTAATAATACCCCTCGTTATACTATTGGGTTATCTATACCCTTGCAGTCATACTTTGGGTTCAAATATACCCCTCATTTAAATGGAGGGACATGTATCATCTTCCTGTTGGACAATTCTAAATATCTCCTAATTAATTAAAAAAACTTATTATCCATACCCGAAAAATAATTTTTTTTGTGAAAACCGGAAAAAACTGAATTTTGTTTTTTTACTAAAAACTGAAAAAAACAAAAATATTTTTTTTCCAGTTTTTACAAAAAACCTGCTTTAAAAAAACTGAAAAATATTTTTTAAAACAATGTTTTTGTAAAAACTGAAAAAAAAACTCAAAAATAATTTTCTAAAGCAATTAAAAACTGGAAAAAACTAAAATATTTTTAACTAAAAACTGGAAAAAAATAATTATTTTTTCAGTTATTTTTTCAGTTTTTACAAAAACATTGCTTTAGAAAATTATTTTTCAGATTTGTTTTCAGTTTTTACAAAAATATTATTTTAGAAAATATTTTTCAGCTTTTTTTAAAGTAGTTTTTTTGTAAAAACTGGAAAAAAAAATATTTTTGTTTTTTTTCAGTTTTTAGTAAATAAACAATTCAGTTTTTTTTTTAGTTTTTACAAAAAATATTGCTTTAAAAAATTGCTTTTCAGCTTTTGTTTTCAGTTTTTACAACAACATTGTTTTAGAAAATATTTTTCAGTTTTTTCTAAAGCAGTTTTTTTGTAAAAATTGAAAAAAAATATTTTCATTTTTTTCAGTTTTTAGTAAAAATAATTTCAGTTTTTTCCAGTTTTTATAAAAAAAAAATTGCTTTAAAAAATTACTTTTCGTGTATGGGTAATGAGTCTTTTTAATTAATTAGAAGATATTTAGAATTGACCAACATGACGATGACATGTGTCCCTCCTGAAAATCCCTAAGGTATTGTCACGACCCAAAATCCCAACCTGTCGTGATAGCGCCTATCTCGATACTAGGCAAGCCGATAATCTCAATAAACCAAAACGTCTCTTTAAGGTTGAAAATATAATATTTATATTTAAATACAATACAAACACTCCCCAAAACCTGGTGTCACTGAGTACATGAGCATCTAATATGAATATAAGTCTGAAAAATATAGTCTATAATAGTCTGAAACCAAATACAGTAAACAAAGAGATAGAGAAGGAGAGACAAGG